AAAAAAATTCTATAGCTGGAGAGCAGCAGAACTGAGGTCTACATCCAAGTCCAATTGTTAAGTACTACACTACATTGGTTCTCTTTGAGAAAGGCTAGGATATATTCTGAAAATCTGAAAGCCTGTGTTGCCCAGAGTAAAAGAAAGGCCCTAGTCAGTTAACAGTCCCCAAACCACCAATCCACTCCCTACTTCTAAAACTTTTGGGTCTTCAAATTACCGGAGCAGTGTGTCTTTGCCCAGGCTCATGCAGAGTTGATTGCAGGAGACAACAAGACTGGTGATGCGCTCAGAAGGGGTAAAGTCGATGCGCTGCTTCGTGAAGATGGGTACTTCCTTCTCTAGTTGGGCATTCACATATCCTACAGGTGAGGAGTGAAGAAAAGGTTAGCTATGGAAGAGATGGAGGAGTAACGCAAGACAACAACAACAAAAAAAAAAACAAGGCTCTTCTCCACCTTCTCAACATATCCCTACCCTGGTACCTAACAGCTGTTATCAAAACATCAAGCAGTCTGCTAACTGCTTCTACAGTAGGGCTCCTGGGCTCTTCCCACAGTCTTGAAAGCAGGATTGAGTCTTTGAATGCTTGGAATGCAGTTATACCATGATATACCTGCTCCAAATTGTAATGGTGGAAGGGGTTGGGCAACCTCCCTTATCAATCTTTGACAGATCAATCCCGCTCAACTAATATAGCCGAAGTTCACTCTCTCCCACCTACCCTATTCATGCAATAATCCTCTTCAGTGAATCTCCAGAAGAATGAGGATTGAGGGAGCCTGATTTGTTAACAAACTCAGCAGCCTTCTCTCTAGTTCTACTCTTCATCCTTCACCACTGTGTAAAGATCCCAGGACTTCAGACTTCTCTGTCAACCTTATACCGACTTTCCACAATCATTTCCCCTCAACTCCAGGTAGCATTCAGCTTTAGCAAAGATCTAAACTATTTCATTTCCCCCTGATCAGTGACAAAGTTCTCTCTAGGACCATACCTCTTTCTCTTACAACATTCCCCTGTTCACCAGTTTCTCTGCCCACTCCCTCCCTCCCTCCTGCCCAAACCACAGAATCAGAAGCGTATAGCCTATTCTCAGTTCTCTCAATAGCAGCCCTGTAGGCAAGTAACTTCCTTCCCTGGGCTCCAGTTCCTTCTTAGAACACAATGCACATGGCAGATCACGGAGAGGCTCTGGCTGCTCTTTCAAACTTTGACCATTACCAACCGGGACCAAGAAAGCCCGAGCAGAGTGACAGGCCTAGAGACCCTGACTGCACATCCAGGAGGTGAACCCGAGCCTTGGAGCCGCCCTCCCAGCTCACGTCAGTAGAGCTGAGGAGGGGTAGCTGCGCCCTCCATTCCCTTACCCGAGTGGGGAATGCCCACGGTGGGGCAGCCAGGCTGCAAGACGGCCGAGCGGGACAGGGAGTCCTCGTATTCATCCAGGATGGACGCCATGGTGCCAGGTCTCTGGGCCCTCAATCCCGGGTCCAGGGATTACAACTGGACACCCCTATCCCCCACGGCTCCCCCTCGTCGGGAATAAGAGGCTGCGACCCCTCCAGATCCCTGGGCAGGGATCTGACCGATTCTGGCAATCCGCCGCTGTCACTTCCTCTTTGAAATTCTGAGGATCTTCCCGTTCTCGCCTAATAGAGCGAGAAGACGGGGGAGCCCAGCCCCAAGAATCAGGCGCAGTCCTGCACACCACTCCCGCCCCAGGAGATCACCCGCTGTCTTTCGCCGCAGATTGCAGGTGATCCAACCTCGCCGGGACAGCTCAGCTGACTCCCGCCCTCGCGACGCGCGCCTATAACGTAACTTCCGCCTTCCCGGAGTCCGACTTTCTGCTGGCGCAGGAATGTCGCGGGACGGCCAGTAGGAGGCGCAGTGAGGGAGCAGTGGCGGGGGGTGAGGGGCGGGGGCGGAGCCCAATAGGCCCGCGCTGGGCGGGAGCTGGACCGCTTTGCTGGGGCAGCTTTTCCCCCAGGCGTGGACGCGTCCTCGCTGGCGAGCAACGTCGTGGGACTGGCCCCGCGGAACTCACGCCCCTCCCGCCAGCATCATGCTGCAGCTCCACGTTTCGCCATTAGGGGGCAATCCCGTCCTTCTTAGCTCGTTCACACCCCGAACCGACCCGCCACAGCCTGGGAGCCGTCCCCGGCAATTTCGTGCCCAGGCTTCCCCTCTCTCAGACGGACGGCTCAGTCTCCCTGTCCAGCTTCAGCTTCCTAAACCGCCCTAGCCCTCGGTTCTCAAGAGAACGTCCAGTTGCTCAATTTACTCTGTGTGTCACAAGACAGAGGTGAGCAGTCCTCGCCTCTCGGCTCCCTCATGGAGAAGCCCACCAGCTTCCAGAAGCTGGTGGCCTGGCCAGCTGGAAGCCACACCCTTCCTAACCTGCCTCTAACCTGCACCGTATTGGCTCCTTGGTGTTGGGAGAGACGGAATGAGGCGGCAGGGGAGAGACAAGGCACAGCTAAGGGGTGCCACGGTAAGACGCTTCCATTCACTCATTCAACAAAATTGTGCTGAGCTTCTAGTGCCTGCCTGGCTTTGGACTAGCTGCTGGGTCACAGAGAGAAATATAATGCTGTCTGCTGCTTTGTCCAGCAGGGGCAATGGGGGAAGTAAATTGATAAATACTGCTAGAAAAGCAAATGACAGGTTTGGGGACTCCCTAGTGGCCTAGGGGTTAAGTCTCAGCGCTATCACCAGGAGGGTGCCCGTAATCCATCTATTCGGCACCCCACTTTGGCTAATCTCACACACACACAACCTCCCCTCCCCACCCACCACTACCACCACCTCTGGCCCACACCCAGTTCTTGTATGGGGGCAGGGGACATAGATTTATTTGCTCAGAAGTTCACTTATTCCAGAAGTAAGCGCACATTCTGTGCCAGGCAGTATGGGGGGGGGGAATGTGAGGTGGGGGGAGGGTCACTGTAGAGAAGAAAACGGACAAAAATCTCTGTCCTAGCGGGGTGTGCCCGTATGTGGCCACAGCGCCCTGGGAGCACAGCCGAGCAGGAAACAAATACCTGCAATGCCAGGCAGGAAAGAGGAACAAATCCATCAGGCGAGACTGCGGTTGGGCTTCCATCTCCACCGGCCTAGGCAATCCAGGTGGAGGGTTCCCTGTGGGGCCCACAAACTCTCCCTTGCTACTGCGGAAGGCTCTGGAGTAGAGTCAGCGCCTTACTGGCTTTGCTTCCCCCACCCCCTCACCCCGCATGTTGAGAAAGAACACCCCCTTTTCTCTTGAAAGCAGCCAGGTTTGCACCTGTATAGTTCACGTTATTCTTGCCGAACTTCTCTACCAGGCCCCACCCACGGGCCCCCTGAGTCCGGGAAGGGACTGCAGATTACCCTACTAAGATACCCTAGCCTCAGAGTCCCATTACTCTTGCCCGAAACCTGCGGTGAAGCCGCTGGCTACGTTGGGGCGCCGTCTCGTGGTCTTGGTGCTAGGCGCGAAGTTTCGGAGCTGGGCGGGAGGTAGTTTCCTCCTGGGAAATGTGATCCCAGCCTGGGAGCTGCCCTGCTCCGAGCATAATAAGCCTCCACCTGGATCACCTGTCGTTTTCATTAGGGAACACAAATAGGTGCGGCCAAAGGTCAAAACCATGAAAGGTGCATTTTCTGAGTACTCACAATGTACCAAGCACCACACCAAGTTCCTAATATTCAATTATTTCATTTTATACTCACACCAATGCTATGAAGCAGTCGCTGCTCTTACTCCCCACTTACAAAAGAAGAAATGGAAGATGGTGGTGGAGCAATTTATTCAAGGTCATGTGGTCAGAAAGTGGAGAAACCAGTATAATATTCAAATCCAAGCAAATGCTGGTTAACCCCCACACTCTCCATGTCCCTGGTGAAAGCTGAAGGAAGGGAAGTACAGCTGGTTCTCTCAATTCTGGTCTGTGCAGAGTGTCCCCCCAACACCCCTGGAGCCCATCAACATAGGAGGGGCATCTCAGGGACCCAGTCCATCTGGCTATCTCCTCACTGGTCCCAAAGCTTTTCCTGGTTGACCTACTGTCTGAGATGTATGGGGGGGAACCTAGATGGGCCTTGCTTGCTACTAACTCTTTCCCTACTCCCTATTTAGTCGATTGCAAAGTGTATCATATATCTACATACTCATTCTTCCATCCTTAGACTGGACCTTGGAATAAGAGTCACAGACCAACCTTAACACTGCATACTGGCTCAGAAGCTGTGACACGCTGCACATTTGATACTCTTAGCTTCTATTTCCTCACCCACAGGAATTAAATGGGATCCTTAACTTATTTCTTAAAAGATTTATTTTTACTGATTTATGGACTGTAGGCCAGAGGTGTGGGGGTGAAAGGATTCACCAGAACAGACAGATCTACTGAAATACACTGCTGAGGGGAGCAGCTGGTGAGGCAGGAGAGGTCTGCTGCACTGCGTGGGTCAGCTCCCTGGGCAGGGATCAAACTCATGCTTCAGTGGATGCACTGAGACTTAGCCCCTTACACCACCATGGAGGACCAGGAGCCCTAACTTTGAATAGTAGGTCCATGTTGAAGAGTAAATGAAGTGACCTAGATGAAAGCTCACTGCTATAGTGTGATGTACAACACAGAGCCTGTGCTCAATAAACTCTAAATGTGGTTTTAATCTAACAGACCCTCTCAAGCCCACCTCCTCCATGAAGCCCTCCTGGATCACAACTTGTTGTTCAGGACTACTATGACTTTTCTTGTCTTAGCCACCTAATTATGAAGTATGAGCATTTTTGCTTTGATATAGCTAAAACTCATTTTTGGGAATAATCCAAACATTCCTGAGCACAAAATACAGAGCTGCTTTAGGGGACTCATAGTGGCAGCTTTAGATTTACCATTTCTTACCCTTCAGAATCCTTGTGGCAGATGCCATGAGATAGATAAGTGCTGCTGCTGGGCTAGGGAGAGAGAGGATTTGTGTACAAAAGTAGGGAAATTTCAGCTAGGATTTGAAATACATGTATGATTTCCAAGAGCATTAGGTAGAGAGCTCAAGAAATTAAAAGGGTACAAAACAGGGGTTAGGGGAGCCCCCACCCCCAAGGGCTGGAGCACTAGGGAGTAGGGCAGTGGAAGAAATATAAATGGCCTTGACCAGATTGTGAAAGACTAAAAAGGCCATCAGAAGGCTTTGGTGGGAGATGAGATCATCTGATGTGAGTTCTAGAAATATGGGTGGTGGCTTGGGTGGAGTCCACATCAGAGAATAAGACCTGAGGCAGAAGCACAGGAGGAGTGGTGAGAACCCACCTGGAGAAAGAATAGACTGGGAAGATCTAGGAGACATTTCTGAGGAGGGGCCCACTGTACTTAATGCAAAATTAGACATGGGA